CAACTTCTCCCTGATGCTCTGCATGGTCAACTGTCACCTGTATGCTAATTCGTGCGTATACACGTTGCGTATTGCGTAGCCGATGTATAATATTTATAATATAATCAATAAAACAATATTTCATACAGTAGTGTGCTCTGCGCGTATATGGGCACAATAAAAGGAGAGAAGCTAAATGAGCCCGAGCCCGATCTGTAAAAAAAAAAAAAAAGGCCCAAGCCCAGCCCGAATGGACTCAGCGTGTCGGGACCCGACGGCCTTGCAGGCCTCTAACCTGGGGGAGGCTGCCGCTGTTGCCACTGCACGTGCTATTACTGTTTACTCTGTCATACAACAAACGGTCATTCTGTATGTGCATTCTCAGATTAAGTGCAGCGACCCAAAACCATGAATCTAATCATCATTCAGACAAAACTTTGCCGATATCAGTCCGATAATATTGTGCATCCCTACTTTTTAACATTTTAAATGTCTTTACTGTCACTTTTGATCAATTGAATTAATGTGTATTCCTTTAAAAAAAATAAAAATCTTACTGACTCCAAACCGTTGTATGGTAGAGTATATTGTTTACATTTGTACAAATGTGAACACATTTTGTACAAATTCTTGTGTAATTGTTGCGTTAGACCCAAGGACAATTAATTATATACCAAGTAATCAAGTGATCATGCTTAAATAACTTAAACAGGATTCTTTGCTTCTGTTCTTCTCCCCTGATAGATGAGCACACGGTTGTGTTCATGCAGCAGGGTCCTCTGGTGCTGGTGTCCGTCTCCAGCAGCCGTCAATCAGAGCAGCAGCTCTGTAACGAACTGCTCTACGTCTACAACCAGATCATCAGCATGCTCACACAGGCCAGCATCACCCGCATCTTCGAGCACAAGAAGAACTATGACCTGCGTCGTCTGCTGGCCGGCTCGGAGAAGATTCTCGACGGCCTCCTTAACCTCGTGGATTCAGACCCCAGCTTCCTACTCTCCGCCGTGCACTGTCTTCCCTTGGCCTCGTCTCTCAGGGACTCCCTCAGTCAGATTCTCCAGAAGGCCATCACACCCAACCTGGTCTTCTCCATCCTCATAGCCAAGAACCAGCTGCTCGCCATAGTGCAAGAGAAGATGGTCATCGACGATGCCCGACTGGAGCCTGCTGACCTCCACCTGCTACTGAACCTCATCGGGGCCTCGTCCGCCTTCCAGGCTGGGGAGATCTGGACGCCCATCTGCCTGCCCAGTTTTAACCCTGACTGTTACTTTTATGCGTACATCTCATATCTGGACCCTCCTGAATGCACGGTTTGTCTGGTTCTTCTCTCTACCGATAAAGAGGCATTTTATTCGGTGGCCGAGTGTAAGAGGAAGATCGAGGAGGCTATGCAAACACAGAATGCGCTCAACTCCATAGCGAAAGCTCATTCGTACAGCGTTAGTCAGGTGGGAGTATCTGACCTCAGGCATTTCATGTACAAGCCTTTTGATGTGCCCGACAACCATCGCCAGCTAACACAGTTCACCAGGTGAGTCGTTTGAGAATCTCACAAAAACTGTCCAGCTCTCATTTCATCCCAAAGAAAAAAGTAAGAAATTATATATTTTAGTTTAGTCCCAATAAGACTTCTTTTAGTTCAGTTTCTTAATATGTTTGTGTAAAACATGATATGTTTTTTTCAGGATTCTTTGATGAATAGAAAGTTCAAAAATTCTAAAGTTCAAAAGCATTTTTTAGTATATTAAAAATACCAGGGATGTGCTAATAAGCTTTCATGTTATGGCTGATAACCGATAAATGCAGATATTAAAATGACTATACTATTTTGTCTAAATAAATAATTAGAAAATAAAACACTAAAAGTGCGTTTAGGGGGGAAATGTGCTTAGGTGTCATAAAATAATGTTACAATGTAAAAAGTATTAACTTTCTTAATGCAAGAGATAATTGCTTCTTTTCCTTTTGATTTTTGGATAAAATGTGAGCTGGACCTGTTTTTATGAGATTAAGCCACATATTTAACCCTCTGCTTGTGAACACATTTGTTATTAAAGAAATGTATTGTATGCGCTGTGATGCAGTGTTTTGATGTTTAGTTAAAACTAAAATGATTAAAAGTGGTTTATATTATTTGAAATAAAGATGAAAGATGAGAATCTTAAAATAAAATAAAAACGTTAAAAAAACTAGAATCGTTGCTTTGGCAACTAACTGAAATGAATTGAAGTACTAAAATAACTTTTAAAAATTAAATAAAAATAAATTTAACGTTAATTGAAAAGTATGTAAAACTGATAAACATGAAAAAAGGAAAAATAAAAGCGAAGTCAAAATATTAATAAATACTATATGTAAACAATACAATAAAAACTGCTGATGTTTTAGTTGTTTTCAATTGGCAACTTTTTGAATGTATTTAGTTATTTTTATTTTTTTTAATAGGAGATCTTTCACTAATGCTGACTTCATGATGTTAGATTTTCCTCAGCATCTTCATAACCAACTTTTGAACAGTATCTGTGAGATTCATATTTTCACTGTAAACCTGAGCTAATGCTCACACATATTTCCCAAATGAATTTTACAGAGGGCAGTAATTGAAAGCATGTTTTCTTAATTCATCCTATTGTTTGATGCCCACAGACTGCAGTGGTTTTATTGAAAGCGCTCTTGTTTGTCATAAGATGCGTACACAATGTAGGGCCACAAATATAATTTTTGAAAATATTGATGAAGGACATACAGAAATGAGATCTAAAGCACAAAGCCGCCTTTGTTTTCCTCTGTGTCTCATGGGTTTCCCGCAGCCCAGAGATGGAAGCCCCTTACGGCAGTGAGGAGGAGCGGATGAGACTCCTGGACCTGTACAGGGACATGCACAGCCGAATCCACAGCACCTCACGCCCCCTCAAGCTCATCTACCACGTGGCCGAACGTGAGACTCTGCTGGCCTGGGTATGTGAATAGTAACTGCTGTCACATGCATCTGTTCTCAGTCCTCCGAGAGCAAAACATGTTGATGCTGTGCTTTCTATCTCGCCTGGCGCTTTCACAAGCTCTCCGCGCAGACCTTAAAAGATCAAGTTACCTTCAAGGCCTCTGAGCAGCAGTCCAAATTTGCAAATGCAGATTATGCAAATGAGGATTCTGACCTTGCTCCAAATGGAGTCGCTTTGTGATTGATTATTTGGTGGCATTCTTTATCATTTTCTCAGGTTAATTACGTGTTGCCCAAAGCAATTTCACTCAAAAATGAAAGTTTGCTGAAAATGTACTCGCCCTCAGGCCATCCAAAATATAGATGAGTTTGTTTCTTCATTAGAACAAATTTGGAGAAATTTAACATTGCTCACCAATGGATCCTCTGCAGTGAATGGGTGCCGTTAGAATGAGAGTCCAAACAGCTGATAAAAACATCACAATAATCCACACGACACCAGTCCATCAATTAGCATCTTGTGAAGTGAAAAGCTGCATGTTTCTCAGAAACAAATCCATCAAGTGGTTTTTAACTTAAAACTGTTGCTTAAAGATCAAGCACCATTTACAAACAAAATCCTGTTTACAAGAAATATGTAGATCAAGCAGCAGTTACAAGTGAAAACAACAAAACAGTTCTAAACAAATATGAATTTGTTTCTTACAAACACAGTTTTTCACTTAACAAGATGTTAATTGATGAACTGGAGTGGTGTGGGTTACGTGTGGATTATTGTGATGTTTTTATCAGCTGTTTGGACTCTCATTCTGACGGCACCCATTCACTGCAGAGGATCCATTGGTGAGCAAGTGATGTAATGCTAAATTTCTCTAAATCTGTTTAGGCGAAGAAACAAACTCATCTACATCTTCGATGGCCTGAGTGTGAGTAAATCTTCAGCAAATTTGGGGTGAACTATTCCTTTAATTTCTCATTCCAGGTCACGAGTAAATTTGAGTTGTATACATGCTTCAGCCCCCTTGTCACAAAAACCTGTGCCATCAATGCCATCACTAAACTGCTGCGCTGGATCAAGAAGGAGGAAGACCGTCTGTTTATCCGATACCCTCCGAAATACTCCACCACCCCCAACCCCAGTAAGAGCTCTAAAGCAGGTAAGAGTCCACCTGAATCAGATTATGATTATTTCTTGGTCATTTACAAGATTCCCTTCATCAACCGACCACCTGCATTGATTTGCTTTCAGATGCACACTGACCAGACCAACCCGCTGCGATCTGACCGCTAAAATGGCAGGACGTGCATCTCTGCATTCGAACTTAACTCAGTTTAGTAATGTAATGGAGATGATTCTAATCTGCCATGGGTTAATAAGTTACGTAAAGCTGCTGTTTTTGTTTTTTTACTATTTGACAGACACATCTTGGACTGGATCTAATTTTATGTGGAAGAAAAACAAATCACATTTTGTGGACGTTATAAACTCTTTTATTCCAGAACAGAACACTTTGAGCTTTACGTAGCAAAAGGCCCAATCAAATGTGGATTTTCTCCTTCTCAACTGATGGCAGTGAACAATTATTGAGGCTATAACTGGATTGTTTTATAGACATTTAATTGCATAAATTAGAAAGTTTATGGTACAAAATTAAAAGATCAAAATTGGTTAATGAAGAAGATGAGCTGTTCATCATGGTCTAAACAGCTTTCTGACAAAGTCTCTAATTTAGCATGGCTGCTGGAGCTGTGCATTGTCACACTGCACTTTTGTTCATTGTACTTGTGATGTATTCTTTTAAAGGTTTCCTTTGACTTTTTGTCTTATATGGTTTTCTACTTGAAACCAAACCCTGCTTAATTTTAAAGAAAATAACATGATCTGAAACATCAGAAGATCATAAAATTCAGTCCTTACTATGGGATTAATGTTCTTTAATTTCTGTCTTGGTTAGGTTACTGCACAATACTGCTGTATGTTTGTTTGTTTGCTGTTTGACATGCCAGTCATGAATAGTGACATTTATTCCTCTGGCATGTGCACTATGACGTCATATCTAATAAGATCAAAACCACTGGGCATAACAGTAAAATCCTCATTGTATGATATTTAGAGAACTACATACTTGGAATTTTTTTTTCTTCTGGAAAACAAATTTGTATTCAAGAGGAGTAATATATTGGTGCTGTAATAAATCTTGAGGTTGCTCAAAGTACATGTATTTTGAGATCTTATTTACTTACATGAAGGCTAAATTTAGTGCAAGTGCGGGATCGAGATGTATTACTCAAGTTCAACTTGTAAACACAGATGACAGGGAAACATCAGCTCGACAGTGTTTTTATTTCTCGTTTGAGAAAATACTGTTGCAGACATTTTTTTGTTCGGTACAATTAGCTGTTTTCACAGGCTTTAAAAAACATTTCTTTTTTACTCTGCATACATGATCTAAGAGACTACGTAGTATTTTATTCTATAATGTTCGTTCACTGTAGACCACTAAGGAACAATTGCATTAAAGCTGTAATGCTTTCTGAATAATATAAAGCTCAACAGAGCTGTTAAATTAAACCTTCTCAATTACTATTAAATAACTTTTCCATAACCACTCCAAATAAATTAAAATGACGTACAAAATTTGTCATTCATTTACATTTCAGATTCTCTGCATATTTTCTACATGCATTTATATTTACACAGTGATCTCCACCGACAATTACAAGCTCGTCAACAAACACATCCTTTCTTTAAAATAAACAGCACATATTAACTTAAAAAGGACACAAAACAGGTGCTGGGTGTAAGCAGTGCCAAAGAAATTAATATTTTCATTCAATGGCATCTCACAGTAGGTTAAAACCACCCTGGTAGTTAAACACCAGACGCTCAGAAGTTGGAATCTGATAAAGACGAAAAGCATATTATAATCACGCTAGAATGATTGACCAGTAGCTCTAAGGGCAATAGGACTTTTTTTTGCACATCCTCAGTCCAGAAATGTATCCAAGTAAACAGTTACAAAAGGCATCTAGCACAAAGTTCCTGAACCGTGCTGCCCGAACACCCTGGCGCATTGGCAACATAACTGATACGATCGCCTCACATTCAATAAAAACGAGTGGCAAAACATTTTCAACATACAGAAATAAGTGCAATTACAACAAGTGAATTTAAAACATTCTTAGAAATCTTAGTTGAATGAGAAGGTTAAAAGTTAATAACACCAGGTTTGATTTATGATGTGCCTTGAGTTATGGAGGGTAGGAAAACAAGACAGAAATAAAAAATGAGCTTATGAATCTGCCTTTCACCGGTATAAATACCAATAAACATCAGAATGTTCTGAACGTATCTTCACTGGTACCTTACAGTCAGTTTAGCAATACATTTAATAGAAGTCCTCTATATAAAATTCGAGGGGTTAAAGGTTGAGTTTTCCTTCACGTGGCTCAGGTGTGTCATCGCCCGGTCATACGCCATGTGCACTGACTTCCGCACATTCGGTTTCTTGCCCTCCATCAGACGTAGTCTGTCTACAGTGTCGTCAATGCCCATGTGATGGAGCTTGTCCAACGGCAGCCACTGCCTGATTGTCAATTAATAATAAAACAATGACTTTGATAGGCTTAAAACAGACTTGCAGGTTTGAAATATGTTTCATGAAATGTATGTTTCACTTTACCAGGTTCTTTTTGTATCAAAAAACAGCACAAGAAAGAGCTTCTCCTCGGTCTCCTCCTTTCTGCGTTTACCCAGATCCAAAACGTCTTTAGGAGGCACAGGGATGGGAATGCCGTTGTGAAGAATTCCTTCCCGGGGCATATTAGGGTTGACAATCTGTTGAAAACCATCATTACTTTAGGCTAGGATAGGTTGAATATACCAAATCATATATTCAAGTGCCTCATGTATATATTCAACACCATGTGATGCTTACCATTGCAGGGTATGAGGGGTATCCAAGACATTTTGCCCAAACCAAGGTAAGAGGTTCCATCTCATCATTCTGAGAAGTTTCTTTGCCTAGAAAAAAAGTAAAGAAAATGACAGTTGGCCAAAACAAATAAAAAAAGAACAATATAGTTTAAGGTCTTTGTTGTACTCACTTGCATTGGAAACTCCGTCCTCCTCCTCACCAACAGGAACTTTGCTGAGAGCTGGTTTACCATGACTGCGTTTCGGAGGTGAGGAACTGCAGCAAATATTAAAGACATACGTTTTTAAAATACAAGGCTCTTCTTTGTAATTGGCACCTTGAACACCTACTGTTAACATATACAGTATGTCAGGTGATCCAATCTCAAGTGGGCAGTGTAATTATAGGTGTAAATACCCCTTCATATAACTGGTTTCCAAGTACTTTTATGTGCATTTTGGGATAAAAAACAAGATTCCAATACAAAATGTGCACAAAAAAGGTGGATTTGAGGTGAATTTGAGGTGGATACATGTTTTATTCAGCAAGAAAACATGAGCATAAACTTATATACAGTAAACTTGATCATTTATAAAGGATAAATTAAATGTATAAATTCTAAATTAAATATAAAAAAAATTTCATGCAATTAATGTTTGTAAAACATGACGCTTAATTTGCAAATAAAGTGTTGTGTTTAAGAGAACAAAACTATGACTTTCGGGTAAATTTGTGCATAATATTACGGCAATTGAAATAGCATGTTTGTAATGAGATGAAATTTCAAATGATGAGGAGAAAAAAGTGAACTTTTTTTTGTTTTATCAACATGCAGAGACACTGATGCCACAAGTGATGCATCTAATTATGAAATTAGGCTTTAGCAACTGAGATTTTAGACATTTTTCAAAAATATATAATTATCTCACCTAAATGTTTGATCATGCAGTGCATTTTTGTTTTTACAATGGGGCAATTGCTGCACAATAGCTTATACACAGCACAAGCCTGATTTTGTGAGCTGTATGTGAGGCGGCCTTATGTGTGTGCACTTTGAGTGTGCATGAGCGCACCGTCTCTAGGAGAACGTGCGAGTGCTGAATAGATTAAACACTGGCAAGACTTAAAAAGAAATGCAACTGATAAACTTTAGTGATGATGCGACACTGTCTCGATTGTGCAAGTGACAATTCCTGTGTCAGCTGTGCAGTGTGCAGCTCGCTTATAGTGCAGACGCGATGAGAGAGAGTCTGCAGTGATTCACTCGAGCTGTTTGTGAAATTAAGTCTCACAGAAAGTTTTCAAATTACTTTCTAAGTTATTTAATATAGAAATATGAATTGTACCTCACCTTCAGCATTATAATTATAAGACGGTGCTACTGCATGTCATGCCAAACCTCTCACGGCATGCTGGCACATCGTCAGCTTGAGAACAGTTTATGAGATCGGCCTTTATAGAGACCGCCGATCAAACTCCCCAAAGGCCGATAGCGATTGGTAGCCGATCAGTCGGAGCACTATTTTAAATCACTCAGTTCAGAGTGCTGACAGTATCCATTACCTGTGTGCTGGGAAGGTGGGAGTGCAGCTTTCTGAATCTGATGAGTTGCCGCTGTGTCTCTGGAGTCCATTTGTGAAGCCTAAATAAAGAGCATTAGAGCACTTTAGCATATTAAACACAACGTGGTGAACAGCTCTTAAATCACTGGTCAATAAACTTGAGTAATCGCCTTGGTAAAGATATTCCAGTACCGTTCTCTTCAGGTGGAGAGTGGGCCTTTTCTCCTTCGCTGTCCGAGCATGTACTTAGTCCTCTGGATCTCAGCTGGTGAGGGGACGGAGAGGGCGATTTTGGGGCTGGTGAAGCTGACAATAATTTGGCTGTTGTGGTCTGCTCCGATGATGCAACATTTTCAGCTTTGCTGACTCCATTTTGCAATAAAACAGGCTTGTCCTTTGCCAGTCTGGTTCTGTTTTTAGCTTTCTTGAAGAGGATCGATGTCCGACGACCCACACCCATCTTGGGCGAATCAGATGGAGTCTCTGTGGAGGAAACCCTGATCACGGCATCCTCCTGAGTGCTGGGGTCCTGCTCTTTTGTGTGGAAGTTCTCGTCTTCTTCTAAAGTCTGATCGTGATTTTCTTTCAGGCCCCTTTCTTTTCCTTTTGCCCTCTGTTTTCTGCTGCCAGTTTTATTTGACTGTGCTGTGGTGGTCCGTCCCACCTTAAGGCAGAACATAGGCGGGTTTGGTGGAGCATCTCCGGGTAAAGGTGAAGAGGCCGGACAAGTGGGTTCTTGCACTTTCTGCAATGTTGATTTCTTGGGGTCTTCAGCTGTGGAAATAAATAAATGATTAACTCATAAGATTTGAATTAAAAACAATTTTACATCACTTGACGTATGGTTTTCTGCCATGGTCCATTATGGAAGCCCATTTGTGCATCAATTAAAAGAAAAGGTCATTTGAGACAAAGTTTAAAATAACAAATAGTAACCATTGTTGTTATTAACTAAACTATTAACTAAAACTATTTAAAAAAACGTATAATAAAATAAAGCTGAAATCAGATCAAATAAAAATATTAAATGAAAAACAAACTGACAAACCAAACTGGCAACTAACTGAAATAAATTAAGATGAAGCTGAAATGCTCCAATTACTTAATTAATAAACTAAAACTAAAATAGTTTAATATAAAGCTAAATAGAAATATTTAAAAAATACAATCACAAAAGCACATAAAACTAGTAAAACAAACTCAAATTAAAAAGAAAACTGAAAATATAAGAATAAAATCTAATATAAAATATTAACAAATACTACAATAGTATATAAATAATACTAAAACAACAATGATAGTAAAATTGCCAGATATAAGGTCACAATAAAATATGAAGTCACAGATATGAAAAATAGTCGCAATTATCTTTTTTTTTTTTTACTAAGGCGCAAATGGTCTGAGGCAAACTGAGGCATCTACAGTGGGTCTAGAAAAGAATCACCCTCTTTAAAATAATCACATTTTATTGCTTTGCAGCCTGAAATGAAGACAGACACAGTTTTTGTTTTATCCAGATGTATTTACTCAGTGCAACTCAAAAGAGTTGTCCTGGAGCATTTCAGTCCTTGTAGTGCAACTGAAGCAAACAATTAACTATGGGTGGCAAGGCACTGTCAAAAGATCTCCGGGATAAAGTTGTGGACAGGTACATGTCAGGAGATGGATACAAAAAATGTCAAAGGCTTTATCAATGACTAGAAGCACAGTGAAGTCTGTTATTAAGAAGTGGAAGGTATTTGGTACAACACAGACCCTCCCTGGATCAGGACGTCGCTCCAAACTGGATGAAAGAGCCAGGAGGAAATTGGTCAGAGAGGCGACCGAGAGCTACAGCAACTCTGAAGCAGTTGCAAGAATTTATGACAAAGAGTGGTCATTGTGTGCATGTGACAACAATATCACAAATTCTCCACAAATGTGGCTTGTATGGAAGAAAAAAGCCACTCCTCAAGAAAGGCCACATGCAGTCACAACTGAGCTTTGCCAAAACACACCTTGAAGATTCTGAGGCAGATGAGACTAAAATTGAATTATTTGTGGTGGAAATCCGATACAGCTCACCATCCAAATAACAGCATTCCTTCAGTAAAGAGGTGG